TAGAATCCCAGGCAGAGTGGTGATGGTGGGTTTTTTCCTTAATTTTTCATTATTTAAAAAGTATAAAAATACAGCGTACAGCCATATACCCAATATCTCAATCCCTTTTATGTAGAAATATTTTAAATTACGACTTTATGTCATTTTTATCCTTACATAGTTTAATACGTACTTCTAAAAATGGATGCATCTTTACATAACCGAAATACTGTTATCACATGTAACAAAATTAATGTTTGTTTAATGCTGTTTGATACCTAGCCCATATTCATTTGTATCCTCAAATCCTTAAAATAACCTTTTTACAGTTTTTTCCGTCTTAAAATAAGGATCCAAACAAAAGTCTTTTATGGCCTTTATTAAATCTGTCTTAATCTAGAACTATCCTTTTCTCCACCTTCCACGTTTTCCCAGACCATTGACTTAGTGAAGAAACTGGACCCCCTTGTCCTCTAGAATGCCCTCCTTTTGGCTTTGTCTGCTTGCTTCATGGTGTTCAGCATATTCCTCTAACTCCTGCCTTTTTCTGTAACCTGGGAGGTAGATGTATAGGCTGCATTGGATTCAGATTTTAGTGTTTTAGTCGCAGTACACCTCAGATGATGCAGAGTAATTCCATCATATGAGGATGCAGATAATAAGTAGTTTGACTGTTAGTGATATTAAGATTGGTCAGTGGGTTCAGCGTTCATATCCACTAATCAATAACAGATATGTTTCAACAATTCTGAATTAGATTTTAAATAAATGTCTCAACTTCATATTTATTGCTACGAAGAGTCCTGTATTTTCCATTGGACAGTTTTTTTATTAAAGAACATTCAGAAAATATTTATGAGCTATCTCTGGACCAAGCACTAGTGAGATGCAGAGGGACAGGGCTGAATAAGGTATTTTCCCTGCCCTTGAGGCTCACAGTCTTTGGGGAATCTCTCATCATATGAACAAGTAATTTAAAAAGCTGTATGACAGTTGTTCACAGAAGTTGTACAAACATTTTCTTTTGTTAATCCTGTTATATTTTTAACCTGTAATTTTTAATTATGACTTCTTAATCACTTTAGGAAATAGTTATTATTAGCCTCTTGGGAAGTATAAGTGCTTTCAGGAAACGTAACTTCTGGTTAGTTTGGAACTTATGGTATTTACAATTCAAATGCAATTTTATACATTTTTTAGTTGCAAATGTGGAGTAGGATTATATTGCTGGTTTAGATGTAAGTCAGGTCATGAAAGGAGAGCCTTGTGGTATTCAGTGCTTCATTGGAGTTGTCTGCAGTTCCTGGCTGTTATGAATAATGCTGTTATAAACTTTCATGTACAGGTTTTTGTATGGATGTATGTTTTCACTTGTCTTGGGTATATAACTAGGAGTGGATTTGCCAGGTCAAATGGTAATTCCTGTGTTTAACTGCTACGCTACGCTGTTCATCAGCTTCATGGCCTACCAGGTGACATCTCCTGCTCAGCCCCACATTTAAGGGTCTCCACACAGTTTCAGTCTCACCTATGTCTCCATAATCATCTTTGCTGATTCCCTACATGTAGCCTAAGCTCCAACAAGCCCAGTTGTAGTGTCCCTAAAGAGTGCATCTTGCATTTTCTAATTTCTGTGACATTTCAAGATCCTACCTGTTTTGAGCTTATTGGAAACAGTACCTCTGTAATCGAAGTTATTCCTGACCGTTCCTTTCTTCCTCCTTGAATTTTTGCTCTCCCCACTCAACCCTCAGAACACTTTATTCCTTTATGGCATTTAACACCCTTTGGCCTGAATCACCATTATTTATGTCTTCTGTCTTACAGGCCTGTGTTGTCCAGTACAGTAGCCATCACCTACATGTGACTGTTCATTTAAAATTAAAGTTAAACATGTAGTTCCTTGGTCGTGCTAGCCGTATTTCAGGTGTTCAGTAGCCATTAGTGACTACTCTGTGTGGACAGATCAGACATACATTTCCATCTTCACAGAAAGTTCTGTTGGACAATACTTTTCTAGATTGTAAACTCAGCAGGGACTGCGACTTTTTCTCCCCTGTGGCCTTTGTGTAGTGCTTTACTTATCTTGAATTCAATTAAGAAAATGAAATTAGATCCTGGCACAGAATAGAGAAATAGAGTTTTGGGAAGTATTCACTACTCCAGAGATGAGAGTCGAACCAGAGAAATAGATGAAATATGTGAAGACCTCCACATCCTTATGTTGTAGGTCCACCAAAAATGGGTTAAAAGTGCAGGAAAATGGGATTGGCAGTTTACCAATTTGTTTATTCTTTTTTTTTTTTTTTTTTTTTTTGGGGTACGTGGTCCTCTCACTCTTGTGGCCTCTCCTGTTGCGGAGCACAGGCTCCGGATGCGCAGGCTCA